CACACACACACACACACACACACACACTCACGCACCCACCCACACACGCACACACTCACACACGCACACACACGCGCACACACACACACCACAGGCACATACACACGCTCTCTCTCTCTTTCGCTCTTATACTTACACTCTAACCCACTCTCTCTCACTCACTCACTCTCTGACACATACATACTTACACAGACACACACTCAAAATACTCAAATGTTCGAAATGCACAATAATTCAAGCACACAAAGTACTCACGACTGACGTAGTTTTCATTAATATGTCTAGGTACTCTAGATGACGTTTGTACATGACTGTTCCAGCACTGTAGCATTACTCTCATTTGAGTTAGCTCGTTTGGTTTCATTGTATTTGCAATGCTCGTAAATGCTCTACGAGAGTTTGCTTGGCAATTGAACGAAAAAACGTTTATAAATATTTAATTGCATTCATCTTCCACACCTCCTGGGCTAACAATCCTGGGGGATAAAATTCGGATCTAGCTAAATGCTGATCCTATGATAAATTACATGCACCTGCCACTGAAATAATATTACTAAGCCCCGATAAATGCAGGATGCATGCACGCGTGGTCCAAGTCGGCCTATTAGCGAGCAAAAAAATAAAATTAAAAACGGCTACTCTTATTGCTTCGCAGAGGGCTCTTCAGCTGCACACCCTGACCAACCACCCGTCCGCCGGCCAGTCCGCCGCGCGCACGGAGGGCGGGAGCGGGGCCGGGGCCGGCGGGCGGGGCGGCTACTTCTGCAGCGCGTGCAGCCAGACGTTCGCGTCCGCGCCCGAGGCGCTCAAGCACCGGCGCAGCCTGGAGCACAAGCTGCGCGCGCAGCAGAAGCGGTGCGAGCGCGGGCTGGCCTCCTCCGACAGCCTGGCGCGGCCCTGCAAGGAGTGCTCCTTCGTGGCCGGCGACATCCTCGAGCTCAAGGCGCACATGGCCGAGCGACACCCGGACCTGCTCTACCAGTGAGGAGCTGCACCCCGTGCTCTTCTTTTCGTATTTTGCCCCCTACTCCTTTTCTGCCTTCATACGTATCTTTTCCTGCCTTCGTCTCTCGTGCCCTCCTACTCGTCACTTTCCTTCCAACTCGTCCTCTGCTCTCCTCATCATGTGCCCTCCTACTCAACATCTACCCTGTTACTCAACATCTACCCTCTTAATCGTCATCTGCCCTTCTACTCGTCTGTTTATTGCTTTTGAAAGTGATAGTTAAAAGTGACTAAAACATTTACATTGTTTTGGTTACATTAACACACGTGGATTGCCTACTTTAGCTGTATGAGAATGCCCAAGACGTTACTATATCAATGTTTGATAAGTGAGCGTTTTGAATAGTTTTCTAAAATTAAGAAACTATCATAAAACCTTTTTACAAATTTATTGACGCACGATGAAAGAGAAAAATCATGAGAGTTTATTTCAATCCATTTTAACTTTTGTGAAAAGCAGATGAATTTCCACCGAAATGCTTTTAGCGACAAATACAAATGTAGTTTTACTTATGGGAACCTAACACTGGAGATAGATTCTCTTATTGCTGATTTCAAAGGTTTTCTTCGCGTTTTTAAAAGCGAACAACATCGGAAAATAAACATACTTTTAAATTTTAATGGCTGAAATTACGAAAAGATTATGTAAACAAGTAATGTGTTTTTGACACATGTTTATACAAGTCAGATACTGAGTGTCGTTGGTGACTATAAATGCGGAAAGAAAAATAGAATTTTACTTCTAGAGCTCTAAAGTTTGCAAAATTGGTAAATGAAATGCTAATTCAAAATAATTAAAATCAACAAAAGTCAACATTAAACGAAATATTTTGTTGTTAAAATTATTTAGCCGAAAAAGAACGAACTTCAAGGAACAAACAATCAACAAAACCGATCAAATCAATACGTTTTTCAATTTTAAATTGAGTCCAGCTAAGAGACAGGCAATCCAATCGAATTATCTAAATCCCTTACGGGGCACTCTAAGAAGAGTAATAAATCAGTATGTTTACAAATAAAAGGAAATTCGGAATGATTATAAAATTGAAGAAAAAAACAACAGGAAAATTATAATGTACTGTACGAATATGTATGCAATGTAGCGGTTGGAACGAAGACCACTGAGAACAATAGTTAAAATATTAATTATTCACAATGCAATATGAATACCATGACAAAAAGACTCGAGAAGGAATTACTGTTGTCGGGCAGTGAGAGTAATCTTTTCAGAAAAGGGATGTAGCAATTTCGTCGACTTACTTGACGGAGATGGCTATGGACGCTCTGGCCCACAATGGTCGTGGGTTCCAAAACTCTGTGGGCTTCGATGATTATTTCTCGTGTCATGGACCTCATTCTCCCTTGATTCCGTGTCCAAAGGGATTGAGTGTTATGGGCTAGTGCATGGTTTAATATATGAATTATTATGCTTAAATCTCTTAAAAACATGTCATTCAGACGTGCATTCGATAATGTTTAGAGAATTAATACAGAGGAGGACAGTGGAGTCATGCGTGTATCGGCGAAATTAATTTTCTCCAATAATATCTGTTTCTAAACAGATCTCGCCATTTCAATCCATTAACTGAGTCACTCCGAGGCACTACAAGGAATGCTCAAGAGCTCCGCCAATTCGAAAGTTCCCTATACTCGACTTAAAAAAAGAGGGTAGGCTTAAAAGAAGTCGCAGTCGAGAATACACGTGGGGAACACGTTCCTAGGATCCGGAAAGCAGATTAAATACCATTTTTTGACACTTCTTCAGAAGCAAATATAAAAATAATATTAGGCCTGTGTTATAAATTCCGGAGCGTATTAGATTTCATTTCTTAAGGAGGAGAACTTTTTCTAAGTCAGGACATTTTGCCGCTGCTGTCGTCTGCAGGTGCTCCAAGTGCGGCGCGGCGTTCGCCCTGCACCAGGAGGTGTCGCGCCACGTGCGCGAGAAGGCGTGCGTGTTCGCCAGTGACGACGCCACCGCCGCTGCCACGACGAGCCCTGGCGCCGGTGTCAGCGCCGGTTCGTCGACCGCCCCCGCGCCGGAGTCGGCGTCGCCGCCGCCGCCCCCGCCGCCCCCGCTGCCCGCCGCGGGCGCCGAGGGCGACGCCGGGGAGTCGCTGGGCTGCGCGCGCTGCCCGTTCCGCACGGCGTCGCGCGCCGAGCTGCTCTTCCACGAGGTCATCCACGACCCGCCCGCCGCGCCCACCACGCCCACCGACCCGGTGCGGATCTTTTTTCTTCTTTTTCACTCGCTTCATTCCTCTTTTATAGTTAGTTACTTTCTCTCTTGGTTGGTAACTTTTTAAATTCTTGTCATTTCATCTTTTCCTTTTTAACACCTTCGTTTCTTTTTTACTTTTTATTTATACCTTCATTTCTTCTTATTAATTCTTCTTTTCAATTTTTCCTTCTTTTTTAGATATTTTTTTTTCCTTTTAATGTCAGCTGGTTTTCACTAGTCATTTGTTTCCCTTTCACATTTTGTCTCCTTAATGTCAACATTTTTTTCGTCCTATGGATGTGACATTCGAATTTTCGAATCCTGGGAATTCACAAACTGCGGGATCAATGAAGGCGATTCAATATTTTTTTAGTTAATTTTAATTTTTTCCCCTCTCCCATGCCAAGTTTTGAGATCACATTACTCTAATAAGTACATAATACATTAAGACGTAATTTTTCTAGACTAAATTTTGTTTAATGAACTTAAATGATGGTGTATTTTGTTTTAATCCCAAACCCGAAATTCGTAGTTTTTGCTGATATTTGTTTAAATGTACAATTTATTTTAATGTAGTTCAATCAATATCTCTAATCACTCTTTCTATAATCTGAGGAGTACGAGAATACTAAAAATTCAAGATATTGTAGAGAACTTTTTATACTTTTTTTCCCTGACATATTTATTCCTTTCGTAGAAATAAAATTTATATGTTTTTATAGAGTAGAATAGTACAAATTTTGTATGATAGCATGACGTTGTTATGTGTGCGTGTTGTGTGCTTAGGAGCCGCGCTACCGCTGCCCCGAGTGCGAGCGCGTCTTCAAGAAGCACGTGCTGCGCTGGCACCTGTGTTCGCACACGGACGAGAAGCCCTTCATCTGCGACGTGTGCTACAAGGGCTTCAACCACCGCTCCTCCATGCGCGTGCACCGCCGCACCGCGCATCCGCCGCCTCCGCCGCCCGCATCCGCCTACCCACGGAAACGTCCCGCCGCCGGGCCCGGCCCGCCGCGAAGCAAGACGCAGGGCCCGCGCCGGCGAACAGGGAAAGCCCAGTGGCTGCGCGCGACTCAGGGGTGCACGAGGTGCGATTTTCTCTTTTTTTCTTTTTTCTTTTATATATACACCCAGGGCTTAGTTTCCGGGTGAAGCGACGGAAGCGGCGTTCCTGTGTGAGTAATCGTTGTGTTTAAACTTTTCCATTAATAAATGTAATACTCTACTCTGTTAATTTAATAATCTATTTAGAGGGCGTCCTGGGACCTAAAACTTTATAAATCAAACACTACCTACACGTAGTATCCCTCTCGCACCGTGCGGGAGCTTACAGCTTGTTGAGGCTGGGGCGTTGCTCCACTAGAGCAGATATCCGGATGGGGAGACATATAGGTTGGCGCCGGAATCCACCATCCAGCGGAGGAAGAATCCCGCCACATCCCGTTTCGAAACACGCACTACACTTACGGGACTAGTACCATAGCAGTTTGCGTGCCTATGAAGACGAAATAATCAATCAATTATTCTCGAGGGGTTTGAGCGGTAGCTACTTTAGCCGCTGTCTGGAGGAGAATTCTAACGTCCGGCTTCTCTGATCGGTAGTTTTCCGTACTTTCTCCGGTCAATATCAGGCGAAAGCCGGAACAATATCTTAGTAAACGGACCTCGCGCGATCTTTCTTTCCTCTTCCTTGATCCTCCTTTTCCCTTCCAAACTCAGACAAATATGCACTAAACTGCCTCACAATATGAGAAACCAATTGAGAGTTTACAGTTTGGACATTACTACTCTAAGGGATATACCTGGGAGACGAAAATATGTAAGCCAAAGACTACGACTGTGCCGAATCTCGCATGTCAACGGGTCTGGGGTACCACAATCTCCCAGAATTTTACATTTTGCATTACACTCACGGGAACAATGCTATAAGAAAGTGTCGCGTCCAGAATCAAAATTCCCTGGCTCACGCAGCATACGTGTTAGGAGGTGCGAACCTCTCGGGCCACGCCCACCCGTATTGTTCCAGCGGCCGGCGCGCCGTCCGAGGGCGCGCGGTTGGCGCCGCGCGCGGAGGGGGCGCCGGCGTCGCCGTCTTCGCCGCCGCCGTCGCCGCTGCAAGGGCGCGGGGGCCACACGGGCCCCTTCGCCTGCGACCGCTGCGCCTTCCGCTCCGTCAGCAAGTGGTCGCTCAACCGCCACCGCGCCACGCACGAGCAGCGCGACAAGACCTTCCTCTGCGCCGCCTGCGGCAGCAGCTTCTTCAGCAAGTCAGTACCTGCTCCATCGACTCTCGTATTACACAGAGATTACGTACTACAAGAAGGGACCGCTCTGCTTGGCCACTGCTGGCAATATCACTTCAAGTTATGTCCATGCATTCATTCTGTCAGAGCGTTCATTTTCAGTTAGCTTACTTGTAAATGGTTCCGTCACTATATCTTGGAACATCATCGTTCTGCTTGACGTTCGTTTGTTTCCCGACTTAACAAAGTGGTCCCTTCTTAAAGTAGTTCCTCCATACTTGTTGTCTGCGCGCATAGCTTCAGCTCCCCAATTCCAACCCCCGTTCTATTTTATCGTTCATTTGAATTAGTAATAAATTGTTGCAACGAACGTTGTAAAGTGACGTCGTTGGCTTCCGCCTCTGGAGCCTTGTGAGCGATCTTCTGTCCGGCTAATGCGCCTTGAAGTTCAGGGCAAGATGGTTGAAACGTTGGCATCACGTCCTTCGATGCGGTGTTTCTTAGTCAGCCAAAAGCACTTGCAACCAGCGTTATTGGTGACACGATTGTTCTCAGGAAATATATCCTATTCGTATCTGCAAGCGAGTTATAGATTTGATATGTTGGTACTATCAATGAAATAAAGTAACCCTCCAATTCTCTGACATTTAGCAAATTGAGAGTTCAAGAAAACATGTGCACATAGTATTTAAGTGCAGATAGCTTTTTAATGCATGCTGTTGAATTACGGAAAGGGGGAAAAGGCCCCATCCTACAGATGGGTCAACCTGATTCAATGCGACCATTTTTCTGTCTGATACCCCTTTTGCGTCGTCAAGTGCGTTGCAATGATAACGGTCTTGAAAGTTGTGGATTCACTTGTTTTGTCACCTTTCGCTCGCGCCACAAGTCATTCCAATGTGGCACGTGCAGGAGCAACTTTAGTAAGACAGAGCCTTCCTTCTTATGTTTTTTTTTAACTCAAAGCTTGGAATACAATCGGACTCTACAAGCTTGGCGTCACGACATATTGCCTTAGCCACGCACCAAAGTGAATGTAAAGCTAACACCAATGTCGCTGCTCTGTTCAATGATCGTGGCGTTCAATAATAAAGTATAAGATCTAAATGATGGAATATGTGGGAAATAAATGAAAATTTCCAGTACCTCGTTTCCGAACGCTTCCTTCTCCATCGATCGCGATTGAAATCCCGGTGCACAAAGATTATTTATATTTTCGACCTTAATATTTTTATTAATGATATTTTATATTTTTATTATGCATTGCTCTGTGGTGTAATTCCACAGAAGCTGTTTCTTGCCAGAGATGTAATGATTTAACAGACATGAAGTTGGATACACTTCTTTTCGCAGTGGTAGTGACAGTTTGTTAGGCTAATCGCCTTATTGCCATCTTGTAACCAACAGAGGTTACACTCATCCTATGGCAATCAACGTTTTAAACGGAAATATATAATTTAAGCTCCAGTAGAACATGTAAATCTGTCGAATGGGACAATCTTCCTTACTACTATTTCGTCAGTTTTTTTCATTTTTAAATTCCATTGTTTGAATCGAGTGAGAGACCGTTCAATCGTGAATCACAGCCCGGTTATTTATGGTGTAGGGCGTAATGGCCGAAGATATGGAGCCTTAATTATCCCATCCCTTCCATCCAAAATAATCCCCAGGAATCGTTGACGCACCCTATCCAGATGAAATGTGCAATTAGCCTAAGCAGAAATGGATAAAACAGAGTCGGAGAATCGGGAGAACCCCTAATGGAAGTTGCAACAAACCCAAATTTTACACCCCAGAATTTAAACACAGGTACCCAGCGACATTTATTCATCTAGCTTCCTTCTACCGCCCACCATTTCTACGTCTTTCTAACTCCCCAATTCTCACTGTTTCATTTTCATAATCGCATCTTTCATAACTGACACCCGTATTGATGCCATGACGTATCAGACATTTACTCTTCTCATTTCCCAACCGCCTAAGAGCACTCTCACTATTCATCCTCACCTACTTCTTGCATTGTCCATTATACACCGCCTTCACCTAGACGTCATCTCCCGGCCATTATTCCAACGCCACTGTCTTCTACTACTATCTCTGTTCCATATTCTTGGCGAGCACTTCCGTCTCCCTCTTTCCTTCCCACTTCCTTCTTCGTCATCCTCCTGACCCCCAGTCTTCCTCATTCTGTAGCTATCCTCATCATTACTCAATTTATCATTACCCCCTCATCCTTCTCGCACCATAACCTTTCTTTTCATCTCCGAGATTTTCCTCAACGTGTTCCTCTCCCCGATTTTCTCTTCTAATCCTGATCCATCCGTTTTGTTGCTCCTTCTCTTCTCCACTAAATATCCTCCAGACCATCATCGTCTTTCTCCTTCTCATTCTTGGTCTTCACCTTAACCTCTTGCTTTTTCAAGTACTTCTTGTCCTCCTGGACATGGTCTTTGTCATACCTATCGTCGTCTTGTGCTCAGCATTATCATCCTGCTCTCTTTTCACTCCTCTTTTCATTCACACGCTCATCAGTCCCCGTTTCCTCAACCACTTGCTTCAACATCCTGATCCTCTACACTTCCCCAAATCTTCCTCCAACTCATCGTATCCTCCTCCTTATCGAAATTATCTTCTCTCTTCACCCTTCTCGTCATCGCCGTCTTTCTTCTCATCCAACTGCTTCTCAGTTTCATCCTCTTCGCCATTTCTCCCCCTAATCCTACTTGATCTTATAGTTTTGCTCTTTTTCTCATTTTAACTAAACCTCCTCCTTTCCATCATCGTCTTTCTCCTCATTTTTATCATTCGTCTTAACCTCCAACTTCTTCTAATTCCACTCATCCTAGTTCTTCTCACTATCCTTCACATCGTCATCCTTATATCTTTCGTCTTTCTCAACATCCTCCAGCTTTAAATGATGTTGAAGGCTTCCGCGGACAGAATCATGATCGTCGAAAAGAGG